TTGCTAACTATTTGTAGTTTATCGACGTCAGGAATTATCTTATAAATATAAGGAAATTTTAACGAAAAACTCATGATACTGTTCATTTTAACGAAAAACCATATTTTTACACTAAAAATCAATTATGATACTTTACCCTTTATTTTGTTCTTATCGTTAGAACTCAGAATTTTCAAATTATTTTCATTAGTTTTCTTTAAATAAAAATAGCTCACACTAAACGTTCACGTCTCTCCTCTTTTAAAGGATGCCGTATTGGACTTGGACCGAACTAAAGAATCATATGCCCATTACAACTCTTCATGGGCCCATCAATTATTCCAACGAACAAAACCAATTAGTTAACCATGCAAAAATGCTATATTTTCTTAGCTCCCATATTATTCCACAATATTTTCTTTTTCTTTGACCAAAGATTTTTTGAAAATAAGATATATAATATTTTATTGAATAAAATTAATTACAATGCTGGAGCAATATAATTTTGAAAAAAAAGAATCGGTTCTTCGATTTAATTTCAAGAGATATTGAAATAAAAAACATTCATGACACCATATAGGAGTAAAACTTCTATAATTATCAGTACGCACTGGACCGATCATGTTAAAGAAATGGGAAAACAATGTAGGTAAAACCTAAATTTGATGACAAAATACTTCATCATCATTATGGATTCTTTCATATACCATTCCATTCCACTATGAGTTTGAGGCTTAGGGTTTTAGAGATGGAAAGGTTATGCAAAAAGGTGTAAATGAAAGGGAGAAATTGTGTATAATTATGCTACGGGTGCCATTGCGGCATGGCGTTCTATGTTAATGATACTATCATAAAGGAGAAAAATTTACACATGATATTGTATCATTGAAACAAGATATCACAGTTCGATGTACTTGTACTAATTAGAAGATATATCAATTATGAATATATGTGATTTATTTGGTGTCTCTCTCCGACCGCTTGTGTTATATTTGATATTGCATCTTCATGTGGAGTGACTGCGAGGGACCATTCCCTTACTCAGAAAAAGGGAGAGACACACTGTAACGTCCCGACCCGAATTTTTTGTTTTGGAATTTATATTTAATGGTAGGGCAAAAAATAAACTCTTGATTACTTACTACCATTAATCCCAATTTATTTAATAAATTCTTAATTTCTCACAAAATCTATAGCTAAATTTATTTGCCAAAAACATAGGATTAATCTTTAAACTAAACACCCAATCCCCTTTCTTATTTCTAATTTTCGATAAAGATTAATCTCGGTTATTTTAAGGCTGGATCTAACTCTCGTTAGACTACCTACATACCCTTGAACGGGATCAAGCATTTCGTAGTTCACAATTTCATTTCTAGTCTATTTTAAAAAATATTCAACTAGTGGAAATATTCAATATTGAACTTTAACAATCGAATCACATTGAATGGATACTAATTACGAATTTAAAATATCGAATTTTGTGTAAAAAGGCAATATCGGCCCATTGGCCACGCGCCGTCGCCGCTGATGGTGGTTTCTGGCGAACAGAAACCAAATTTTCTGACTAACTCTAAAAATTACCAAATTTTATAGACAAATAGTGTAATACCCTGAAAAATGTAAATATAGGAATTTGGTATTCATAATTATGAATATGTAAAAAGAATTGGGAATTTATATTAATTCATAAAATTTTCGCTTTAAAATAAACTAGTTACGAGGTTTAAAGTTTGGATATTAATTATTGAAAATTTGTAGACCTTTCAAGGTCAAAATTTATGTACGGAACGCAATTTGGAGATATAATGAAGAAGTTATTAACGCTTAAAGTCGAGGGTAAAATTGTAAATTTATCATTTATAAAATGCTCTAGATTTTTTTAGCCAGATCTAGAAGGCCACGTGTGTGGCCCAGATTAAAAGTAAGAAAAGTTAGGCGGTGGAGATGGAAGATAAAGGAGAGAAATGAGGGAGAGACAAGCCAATGAGGAAAGGGGGAGATGAGTGAGAGACCAATGGGGAGAGAGAACCGGGAGGGAAAGGAGAGGAAGGGGACAAGGGGAATCGGGACCCGGGCCTTGGTGACCCGACCCGGTTCAGCGCCACACATATTTCCGATGGAATTTCACCCATTTTTTCCGGTGAATTGGGTCAAACAACCATTTGGAAACCCCTCCACAACCTTCCGTCTCCCTATTACCACCAAAAATCATGAAGTTTGGTCTTGAAATTGGGAAGAACACACCCGAGGGTGCCGCGACCTACCTTGCTTAAATCCCACCAAATCTGAAATGATTTGATTAAATTTCCACCACCAGTAGACTCATATTAACCCCAATAACAAACCCCAAGCAATGGTTAGGGCGTCGGAGTTTGTTTGAAGTCGAATCAAGGATACCCATTTCTAGGGTTCCAGCGGGTTTGGGCCAAATTGGAGCCTTTCTAGACAAAATTGGATTGGCCATAGGTATAAAGTTTTCTCTACTCTTTGAGATCTTCATTTCTGTAATTTTTGAGAATTTTAGAAATAATTGAATTTTTCGGCCAGTCGAGGCGGCCAACCGCCACCCGTGGCGGCGGGTGCAGCAGCGCATGGCCAGGGAGCCGACAATTGTTCTTTATGAGAATTTCATTATTCTAATTATGTTTTTGAGATCAAAATTGTTGTGGTTTGAATATTAATATGATTTTGGTATATGTTGGATTAACTGCATATATTCAGATTTGTTTAATTTTGGAATTAGTGAACTACGAAATGCTTGATCCCACTCCAGGGTACGTAGGCAGTCTAACAGTGTTAGATGCAGCCTTAAATAACCCGAAAAATAATTCTTACAATGAGAAGTGTGTTATAAAAGGAAATAGAGACAAGATGATAATAAATTTGTACGTTTGGTGTTTAATTTTTTTTATTTATTTATGAATCAAGGTCGGAAACAAGACATAGAATTAAAGGAAGGGATTTAGTAAATAATTTGAGTTTTTACCTTATTTTTTTTAGTCGATTTTGAATGTAAGGTAAGGATTAGAGAATTGACTATGGTAGAAAACAAACAATTAATGGTAATCAACTAAACATGATTTTTAAGTTGGGCCTATCAAAAGTAATAACATCATTTCCCGAATTAAAGAATTTATTCGGGGCGGGGTGTTACAAGTAGAGTTCAATGAAAGGAACAACATTCATGCCTGGGCCAAAGTCTAATTCGACCGGGAAACACCTGAAATCGCCCTTGATTCGCCAGAAACCGCCACCGGCAGCGGCACGTGGCCAGTGGGCCGATATTGCCTTTTTACACAAAATTCGATATTTTAAATCCGTAATTAGTATCCATTCAATGTGATTCGATTGTTAAAGTTCAATATTGAATATTTCCGCTACTTGAATATTTTCGAAAATGGACTAGAAATGAAATTGTGAACTATGAAAGGCTTGATCCCGTTCAAGGGTATGTAGGCAGTCTAACGGGAGTTAGATGCAGCCTTAAAATAACCGATATTAATCTTTATCGAAAATTAGAAATAAGAAAAGGAATTGGGTGTTTAGTTTAAAGATTAATCCTATGTTTTTGGTAAATAAATTTAACTATCGATTTTGTGAGAAATTAAGAATTTATTAAATAAATTGTAATGAATTGTAGTAAGTAAACAAGAGTTTATTTTTGGCCTACCACTAAATGTAAATTCCGAAATTAGTTTCTAAAATAAAAAATTTTGGGTCGGGGCGTTACACACGCATGTAGAAGAAATGGTCCATCCACATAAAAACCAAAGCCTATAAAAAACTAAAACTACTTTGAGCCACTGACACTATGTTCTAGCGGTATTCATGTTATGTCTGTTTGTAAGTGATAGGTTTTAGATTTGACTCCAATAAATAACAAGTTCGACACAATTACTATTGCCCATTTTGTGGCTTAGCTCAACCTCTGCCCCTAATGTCGTTGTCTCACGAAAAGAAAAGAAAAACTTTGAAATTAAATCCTTAATATATTGTTAATTGGGGACCACTTTGTTGAATAATTGAATTGGTTCTCATGCATGTTGCACATAGTGCGGTTAATTGAGTGTGAATTAGTCTATCTACTAAGCATGAATCATGTTTTTTGTTTTAAAGGACCTACTAGTGGCTTTGCCACGACAGTCCATCTTCTTGGGAGTTGAGAGACTCACATAGACATTTCAGCATCTCCTAGTCACTACGTGTGATTCATTAGCACCATAAACCTAATCCAAAACATGCCGTGTAGAATATGAGCTTGAAATTCGTTCCCAACTATTGGGTCATCCTGTAGTGGTTACTAAGCATGAATCTTTCGCATTTTGTTTTTTGAAGAAACATGCGCTCCTTTGCAAGTTATTATGACGAGGCTGGCACTTGGCAACTTGGCAACTTGGCATGCATGCCATGCTGCTTCCAATTCTACCAGTACGAAATGTCCTTAAATGAGTGTGATTTAGCCTATCTCCTAAACCAGTCGTGAAATTTAAACTCATTTAACGGATTAGCTGTCCACTGTAAACAGTAACATCTAATCCGGTAACAACACTCACGAAGCTGCAGTTTGGCACCGAGGGAAAGTACGCGATTTTCGTATATGTTGATGGACATCCCGTGTTAACAAGCGCATGTAGTTTTAATGTGTAGGGACGTACGTATATACATACACAGCCTGTAAATTTTGCTTTTGGTTTAAGCATCGATGGTTGACGGTGGAAAAAGGTGGTCCAGGACATTACTGCGAGTGCCAGAACGAGCTAGCTCTCCTGGCTCGTCTGTGAGTCTCTGACTAACCACCACTAGGTTCCCTACCGCTACCTGCATCCTGTTCGTGTGCATAAAATACTGACAGACAATGTAGCATATCGGACAGGCAACGGAAGGAATTCACCATCAATGTTCACGACAGATGAGAGAAACACAAATCATAAGTTCATAATTAATACGAAAGATTTCACATCGAACGAACTAGTTTTGCTTTAGAGTTTAGTCTACAAGGCTTCTCATAGAACCAAATCGGTAACCAAGTTACGAAATTCTGATAAGGGTACTGCAACATCTGAACAAATCAAACTCCTTTGTATACAATATATATTAAACTTCCATTTCATGTCACCAGCAATGAGAAACGAAAGGAAAGAGCGAGTGCACGACATGAAAATTCCAAACAGAATTTCCATGGCTACTGTACAATTTCTCAAGGCGGAAAAGAAGAACCGACTATAACAGCCAACAAGAACAAGCTAATAAGTAGGAAAACAAAAGCTAAACCAAAAACACTCACATATTCCTTTTTTCAGCTCAATTTGTTCTTCATTAGATACCTGTTTGCTCGATATCCTTAAGAAGTCCGACAATCTGATGCATGCTTGGTCGCTTTGAGGGAAGGTCAGCTGTGCACAGATATCCAATCTTCAGGGCCTCCTCCATTTGGTCATCTGGTCCTGTGTCACGAATTTTTGGATCAATAGCGCTCGACCCTTTGTTCTTTCTAATCAATCCTCTAACCCAGCTCACCAAGGTTGCATCTTTCTCCTCTGGATAGTCATCGCCATATGGCTTCTTCGAAGTAATCAGCTCAAAAAGAACAACTCCAAAGCAATACACATCAGATTTTGGAGTTGGAGAATCATACTCGGACTGAGAAAACTCCGGTGGCACATACCCTGGTGACCCTCGAGAGATCTCTTCATCTAGGCCACTGCCGAAAATCTTAGCCAGACCAAAATCAGATAATCTAGGCTCTAAGTTATAATCCAGATAGACACTACTAGCTTTAACGTCTCTATGAATAATCGGAGGTGAGCAACCGTGGTGTAGAAATGCCAGTGCTCTGGCAGTGCCAAGTGCAATCTTGTGACGGAACCTCCACGATGTTAACAACCCTTCAGAACCAACATTTTGAATGTCATTGTTGTCTTCCTGTTCCCAAGTATCTGTGCTCCAATCCTCTGTTGTTTGCAGTACCCCGAGTGGCAAGTCATGAAGCAAATTCTGTAGATTCCCGTTCTCCATGTAGTCATAGATAGCAATCCTTTGGTCCCCGGCCAAGCAATATCCAGTCAATGGAACAAGATTAGGGTGTTTGATTCGACCGAGATACTCAAACTCTCTTGCAGCTTCCTGGTCTGTCATTGTAGAACCGTGGACCAAAACTTTCACCGCTACATGGATTCCACCCGGTAGAAATCCTCTATAAACAGGCCCGAATTTCCCTTCAGCCAAAAGGTTTCCTCGATCAAAGTTCGAAGTTGCAGATAAGAGGTCTGAGAATGTGAAATTCAACAATGGCTTCTCGAAAATCACTACAGGTACTGAATTTGCTTGCTTAACATCTGCAACCCATGTTGTTGAATCGGTCTGGAAGGAAAAGGGGCCTGATACGTTTTGCTCTTCCTTGTGTGAGGTTTGTTTTACCTCCCACATTCTGGTTTTCCTTCTGCAACCAACTGCTAGAAACAGCAAACCAGCAAGCAAGCATACCATTGAGAAGGTCAAAACCAAAGCAAGCTTTAGACCCTTTTGCTGCCTAGCCTTATTGGATTGTGCTCTAAAAAGGTCCGGTTTTGCTGCAATGGGACAGCTGTTTGTTGAACCAAAGAAAGATGCTTGGAGGGTTGCGTTGGAAATTTCAGAAGCACAAAGTGTCAAGTTATTGTAAGAGAAGTTGAACCTCTCCATCCAAGGGAGTTTCCTCAAGAGCGATGCAGGGATCTCTCCGCTTAAATTGTTGTCAGAAACATCAAAAACTTGGAGATTTCTCAAACTCAGCAATGGGATTCTGCCTATGAGATGGTTTTCAGAAAGATCAAGTGTGTTCAAGTTACTCAGCTGGGAAATTTCAGCAGGAATACGACCCGTAAGACTAGTTTTCGACAAGTTCAGGTACTCCAAACCCGAAAAAGTTTTCACATTTCTCCGGAATTTCTGCCTTGTAAAATTATTGTGGGCGAGATTAAGGTGTTTGAGATTCTGGGATTGAATCCAATCAAGTAAAATTTCTCCACCAAGCTGATTCTCAGACAAATCTAAATAAACCAAACGAGACCAATTGTAGCTAGCATTGAATTGTACCTTTGAAACGTCGCCTTCAAACCGATTCCTGCTCAGGTCTGCCACCTCCAGCAGCTCCTTAAACACTCCCATCACTGAACCCTGAAACACATTCCCTGAAATGTTCAGAGAAGTAATGGAATTCATCTCCGAAAAATCGGAGTCCCGGCCTTGAATCCCATTCCCAGCAAGGTTCAATACTTGGAGCTTAGGCAATGCGGCACCAAATCCATCTGGAAGAGAACCGTTTAACCGATTCGACGAAAGGTCAATCCAAACCAGAGACTGACAGCTCAAAATTCCTGATGGGATGCTCTTCTCAAACGAATTTCCATTGAGCTTAAGAACTCGCAGACTGGCAAGTGAGCTTATATCTGCAGGAATCTCACCAGAGAAATTGTTGTTGGAAACGTCGAGGGTTTCGAGCAGACCGAAGTTGCCAATGTTGTTAGGCAACGACCCGGAAATCCGGTTGTTGGAGAGAATAAGGTGCTTGAGAGAACCTAGGCTCCACAAATCCGAAGGCAGACTGGTGATTTTGTTGCTGCTAAGGTTTAAAGATTGGAGCTTTGTGAGCTTTCCGATGGTTGTGTCCGGAATCGGACCGGAGAGCTCCAAACCGGAAGCCTCAAATCCGATAACATTGTTGGATTCACAGAAAACTCCTTTCCACGAGCAAACAGGTGCAGAAAAGTTGTAGAGATTGGAAGAAGAAGATGAAGAAAAAGAACCCAATTGTTTCAAAAACTCAGAGACAAAGAACCCATCCGTGTTGGGCTGTTGGGAAGCTAATGGATTCAAAAGCAGGGAAAAAACTAGTAGAGAAGCAAAGAAAATATAACCCATTTGGAAAAATAGTGCAGCAGAGAAAAGGATGTGAGAAAGTTTAAACCTTTCTTTCTCTCTCTATCACTTTCTCACTCTAGAGCTTCAGAAGCAGCATTGCAGTAACATAAATGGTTCTGGGTCCATCTCAGAAGCACTTGCTTGGGGACTCTGCAGCTCCATTAAATCAACTGCAGAGTCTAAAAGAGTGGGTTTTGGGTTTTGGAGAAGAGAATATTGTTAGGCTAAAACTCCCCCAAAAAAAAAAAACAAGAACTTACATGCAGGATTTTGTTGGGTTTGTGGTCCTTGTTATCCTCCTAAGAAAACCCCCCAAAAAAAAAGCACTGGGAAAATAAGCCAATGGGTGAAGCAGCACATGCAAGTAACAAACTTATTGGGTTCTCAAAGAGTTGACGGTTTTCTGGGGTTTGGAGAGTGGGGGAATGTGAGCTCACCTTTGGTGGTTTTGCAGGTCCATGACCATGAAATCCTGCAGAAACAAACAACTAAAAAGAGGAAGCAATTTTGTCTGTGTGTGTGGAGAAGTAGAATATGTGAGCAGCAGCAAGAGGAGGAGAATGCTCTAGTTTTTGCTGCATATATTTTGTTTAAAACAAACAAACAAAGGAGACTGTCATGTGATTTTAAGTGAAATGAAAACAAGGAGACCGTGAGGAGAGAGAGAGAGAGGGAGAGGGAGAGGGAGAGGGAGAGGAAGGAGGGTATATTGGGAACGAGAGATTTTTAAATGTGATTGGAATATAGAGAGCAACATCACATGTTATTGTACAATTGGAAACACGCTAGAAAAAAATAAAAAAATAATTCCTTCAATTGTACAATGATATGTAGCGTTCTAATCTGTGTTCTGGACACACTGAAAATCCGTTAACGGGAAAGAAGGGGTAGACAGGAGTTGAGCTTCATAAATGAGAAAGGTTTTAATGGAGGGAAGTAAATATCTAGTATTTGGGTTGATGACAACTTTATGTTGGTGGGAATTCAGTGATGTTCTACATGGAGTGTTGTTTTTTTTCATCATTCATTCTTTTTCTCTAATTAAAAGTTGGTTGATATCTTTATCAGATTGAATTCCAATTAGAAATTGGCAAATTGCTACTATAGAAGCTAATCACCATCTTTTAATAGTGTTTTGTTAGAATACTGCCAATCAAGTGTATTATGTAGTGTTCTTATACACTAAGTAGTAATTATTTGTTTCTACACAAAAAAAAAAATTGAGTAGAAGTGTTTGATTAAATTATTCGTAAAATAATTTTTACAAAAATATGAACACATGTATTTTGCCTTATTCGGTCTTATTCCGGTTTTACTTTTAAGAGTGTATGGACGTTAGTTTTCATTTTGAAAAGTATCAACCTTTTGAAAACAAAATTTTTTGTTTTTTTTTATAATCAAAATAGAACGGACAGTGCTAATGCTATTCCCACATTTGTTTTTACTTGTTACATTACATTGTTAATTTTTTACCATTAATCTTTTTGAAATCATTCGGTCTGAAAACCGAAAATTGAAAGGAGTATATAATAAGTGAAAATAGGTATGTGTATAATATTATCCAAGAGAAATTATGACCATTTCCCCAACTTTCCGTAAAGCATGATGGACAATCAGTTCATACAACTTTTACTTTGACATTTAAATGTATTGATTTTCACTTTAAATAACTTATATATGAACTCATGATTTGCCCTTAATGACGTTACGGATAGAAATCATCTCCGGATCTCTTCCTCCAAATCCCAAAGATCAAGTGATCCGGACCTTTAAAATTTGAACAAACGGCTAAAAACAGAGAAGTGAGTAAAAAGTTTTAAAAGCTATAATAGTTTTTAACCGTTGGATCAAATTTTTAAAGGCCCGGATCACTTGATCCCTGGGCTTTGGAGGGAGAGATCCAGAGATGATCTCTTTCCCAATGTTACAAGTTGATCAAATGAAGGGAAGTGTGTAATTTGCGGAGTAAAATTCTCTCTCCTCATATTCTCTTTTCCTCTCACACTTTGATGTTTGTTCTTTTGTTTTTATTAAAAAATTAACACAATATGTTAATGTGACTTAATCGTAACCGTTCAAATAAAAAAAAAAAAGACATAAATTAGAAGGAAAGAGAATCATACTCCGTAATTTGGTGGCGGGTGGGGAGTGGGGGCGGGGGCGGTGTTGGCGGAATATATTTCAAAGGATTAGCTTAGAAATGGTTGGTGTGATGTAGCGTTTTGTTGACTTAAACATATGCACTTCAAAAAGGTTCTCCCAATGAGATTATGAGTCCCACCCATTTCGATTAAACAAGTGATTTACACCCTAACCCATCATCACCATTAATTATACTTAATGGTGGGTCCAGTCTCTTAGTAAAATTCAAGAGACTATGATCACTCCCGTCAAGACTCAACCATCTCGATTGTTTATTTGGAAAGGAGCTTTAAACACCCCACTGCAACAATATTCTAAATTAATAAGCGATTTCTTATGTTTCAACTTTTATATATTTTAGCCGGCACTGACTAAGAATATTGAAATAGTGGCATACCGGTATAAGTAAGTCTCTCTCGTTCAATTAGGGGGGGTCAATCACATGATTAGAATTAAAAAACAGCTGTAGTGGTGTTGATGATTGAGTAAACTAATCCGTGTCTTGTTTCTCTGTATCTTTCGTTCCTCTGAGGATTTGGCTTGGGGTGTGACTGAATAATGAAAGTTAATAGAATATAATTACTGTAGTCATGCTGATTTAGACACCTTTGCATCGATCAAACTCAAGGCACATGAGGGCTTTGACAAGTTTAGACGACGACCCTTGTCCTAGTGGAGAAAGAAAACAACAAATTAAATTAAGTAATTATGCAGGTAGGTGTTTGCACATGGGAAAATGCCCACTTTGTCAAAATCTTAGACGGTATCGCTTGTGATTGTATTTGATAGAGAAATTTGTAAGTGTTTTTTGATGGATACGGTGTTATCTTCATTAAAGGGTGAGAGAGTCGACTATGACTCACATGATCTATCCATAATAGTTTGGTCCTTCGTTTTTGGCGAGATTGAACATAAAATCTCTCACTTACAAATGAAGAGAAATACCAATAGACCGCTGTGCTAAAAACATTTCCAATCGGGGATCTATATTGAGTTGTATAGAGATGTCAAAGTAGTTTACATCCCACATACACATCTCCAAGATTGGAGATTCTCCAAGTGATTAGCGTTAGCGTTGTTGTGAAAAAAGCACTTACGCCATGAAGCATTTACGAACATAAGTGTTTTCTATACCGACATTCCAAATAAGAATGATAAAACGGCATTGTATAGAAAGTGAGTTGAGCAGATCGGGAGCACGCCAAGACTCAACAAGAAAGAGAATGGAGGAAGATTACATCAAGTCGTAATAATTTGCACTGATTGAGGGGGGGTTAAGGTGAGGAGTAATAAAAAAACCACCGACACACAAGGACTAATGATAATTGAAACGACCAACCCCCCATAACACTTGGTTTCATGATATTGCCAATTTGCCAGCTGCAAACCTACTCCTCGGACAATCATGCTCTGTCACTGTTGTGTTACTTCTCCACGAAGCCGCGAGCACATATAGCATGAGTTGGCAAAATCTTGGGTGTAACCGAAGGTATTTTCCTCTCACCAACTTTCTTATCAAGAGAGAGAGAGAGAGAGGAGGAGGATATACCCCCATTACACGCTTAGAAACTTTCCTAAGAGTTGCACCCATGCAAAGTATAGAGATGTCATCGAAATTTTACGATGATCACTAAAAGATGAAAAATTTAAGATCCTATAAAGTACCCAAAATTTCATACATTACAATAGAACACAACCCTCAAAAGTTATACTGATTGATTGTAGGCAACCAGAAATAGATTTATAGCAAAACAAAAAGCTTAGTGTATCTCGGAAAGACCGAAAACACGTAATCCTTCAGCTAATACAATTATCCGTCCATGAGAAATTCTCCCCACAGCAGTAAGATACAGTTCACCTGGTCTGAGCTCTCTTCCTCTCCACTCCAAACGCAACACAAATAATCGCCCCGTATTACAATTTCTCTCAACATCTACAGCAAACCAACAATCTGTCCATACAAGTTTGACTTATTCTGTCATATCCGGAGGGGGTGATTTCCAGAACCATACCTGTCTGGCTTTGTTTTTTTCATCTGCGATCTCTGGGTTGCAATCTTTTGGAATGGATTTGGTCCGCCAAATGTTTCTTTGGGTTGCCTTACCCTCTTTCTCTTTCCGCGATCATATTCTTCATCCCTGCATCAATTAAACATTCCACAACTTGTCAGAAGATTTTATATGTAATGCGTTAACTGGTGAAAATTCATGCTGATTAGTGTGACATGCAAGGGATTCCAAACTCACCATTCGTCAGGTATATAACCAATGCTGACACTCTTTGCACGGCTTGATTCTACAATACGAGGAGGAGGCAATTCTATTCCGTCCCAACGTGCAACTGCAACCAACATATTTTTTTGAGAGATACAATCAGGAAATTATAACCACAATAACATTAGGTAACATCAGTTTCAATGGGCTTCTTGTTCATATTTTCTAGAAGACAGAAGAAAGAACAAACAAAACAAAAAACAAATAAGTAATAAAGGTTTATCCAGCATTCGAAACTAACAGATCAATTGGGTAGAAGTGAAGCTCAACTTGCCAATCAGCAATAGATATAAATGCAGAAGGCATTGCAATTGTATATAGGCAACACATGCATGACTACATAACGGCATGGCATATATGCAAATACTACAAAACTACCAGCAACCATGGATATATATGGTCAGGAGGGCAGAGTCCTAGATAATTTACTCACCCATTGTCTCGTCAAGACCTCGGGTCAGCACACCAATCCCTCCATTTTGCATTCTATCCCTTTTACAATTGTGTGGGGTATCATTTTCCCCGGTCTCCCGCAGATTTTCTTTTGAGAAAGAGCTAGAGACATTACCAATTTGTAATCTTTTATCACTTGCAAGCACTGTACCATTCTGACCAACACTTTCTCTAAACTCACCCTTATTGGCAGCCATTAAAGAATGACCATGAGATTTCATTTCCAGCTTTTTATCAGTTCCATCTGCATCCTTTTTTAAGCCAGATTTGGTCCCCTTCCTCTTAGACTTTTGCTTAGAAGGAGTAGAAACCAAGGGAATTGACCGGGTTTGCTCAGATGTAGATGGCCCCATATCAGATAAGCAAGAATTGTCCATAACATGTTTCTTAAGAAGGCTACTGGTATCTGAAGATGGGTGCTTACTCCTTTTGTGTTTTTTCTTCTTCTGTACGCTTAAGACCGCCCGGGAAAGTAAGCCAGGTCGTAACTGCATGCAAGCAACCTTAGACTTTAGCTGCTTCTTTTTCAATTTTCTATGGCGTTTGCAAGCAGAAGATTTCACAAGCAACGATCCATATGTCACAATTAATGAGGAGCCAGACAATTTTGCTGACTCATCAATTACTACTTTTTGGCCTGAATCACCAGTCTTCTCACCCAAAACATTACAAGCAGCACTTCCATTGGTAAAACTTCCAACCTAAAATATAAAAGAAGTTAAATCATGACAACGCAACCTATCATAAAATGCATAAAAAATACAAAAAAAAAAAATACCT